TCAGGAAAGGGTTCAGGTGTTACTTAAGTTGTGCCTAGGACTCTGCACAGGGGGGAATTTCACCCTCTTTAGGGTTGCCAACCCTCCCGGTTTCACCGGGAGTCACCCAGAATCGGGCTCTACTCCCCGAGGCTACTGAAGCCAAATGGGGAGACTTTAGGCCACTAAAAATCCAGCGGTGCAGCGGGGCTAAGGCAGGCTAAGGTGCATTGCCCCTGCCCCAAGTGCCGACTCCACAGCTTCCACTGGCTGGGAACTGAGGCCAATGGGAGCTGCAGGGGTGGTGTCTGCAGGCAGGGATAGCGTGCGGAGCCCCCTGGTCCCACCTAGGGGCCACAGGATGTGCCGACTGCTTCTGGGAATGGCGCAGGCCAGGGCAGGCAGGGAGCCCTTAGCCATGCTGCACCGCCAACCGGGAGCTGACTGAGGTAAGTGCCACCCAGCTGGAGCCCCACACCCAAACTCCCTCCCAGAGTCTGCACCCAGCACCCCCCCTAAAGATTGTCAGAATTGTACAAGGGGGGGGATGGCGCATCAGACAGTGGTGATGACATCATGACTTCTCCTAGAGTCCGAGAGCATGTCAAGTTCAGGCTGTCAGGGTAGGAAAGCAACAGTGGACAATACCAACCTCCAAGCGTGCAACAATGCTAACAGGGAAATGTCCCATGTGATTTCAGCTGGATAGTGAGGCCTTTTGCAATGTGATTCCTCATGGTGAATTGCACTTGAACACACTCATTACAAAGAGCAGGCACAATCTAATGATGTACAATGAGAACATAATGCAGCCCCTAGGAAAATGTGACTTTTTAGTAACTAACCTGAATAACAACAAATGGAACCAACTGAACTTGGTGGTGGTGGATGGTAAGCACCATAGACCTCTCTTGGGGAATACAGTGATACAAGCCTGGGATGTGATCAAAGTGCAGCATCAGTAGGGTGACCATATTTCACAGAGGGAGAATGGGACACTGCACGGGGCTGGTCCAAGCCACTTGCCCAAGCCCCCCTTCCCACCCTCTGCGCGATGGTAGGGTCTCTAGAACCCTGCCTGCCCACTGCATGAGCACAGCCTCCCCCCTACAAGCAGCTGGCATCGCGGCTGGCCCCCCTGCACGTTCCTCTGCACCGCACCCCACTTTTTTGACAAAAGTTGGCATTTGTCCTGTTTGCTCTTGATCAGTTGGCAAGAGCAAACGGGACAAATGTCCATTTTGGTCAAAAAAGTTGGGACGGCCGGGACAGAGCTTAAAAAAGGGACTGTCCTAGCTGAAACAGGACGTATGGTCACCCTAAGAATCAGAATTTTATAGCTGCAGTGCAAGAAGCAAAATGGACAATGGAAACAATTTTAAAAGCATGTGAGGATGTCACAGGCGACAGATGCCTTGAAGGAAAGCTGAGGCTGGAAGTAGATCTCACGGTGAAACCTGTGTGCTTTCCATGAAGAAAAATTCCAGTGGCACTAAATAATCCAGTTTGCAAGGAGCTCAAAAGTCTGCGGAGCAGGGGTATCATAGCACCTGCAGAGGCCAGTGCAGCCTGGGTAAGCAGCATGGTGAGGTAAAGAAGCCAACAGGCACTTTACACATCTGCATAGACCCAAAGCCACTGATGCGGGCATTGAACAGCTGCCATTATCAACTGCCCACAATTGATGACATCTTGCCTGAACTTTTCAAAGCCAGAGTCTTTATGGTCTGTGATGTGAGGAATGGGTTTGGGCACGTAAGCCTAGATAAAGAGTCCAGCGTGCTGACAACCTTTGCAACACCATTTGTTCACTACAGACGGCTGCACATACTGATGGGCATACGCCCAGCACCAGAGGTGTTCGAGAGAAGACTCACCCAAGTACTGGAAGGACTGCCTGGAGTGAAAATAATGGCAGATGATATTCTCATTCTAAGTGAAGGGAGCAAGGATACCGAAGCTGAACGAGACTATGACAGAAAACTGAAAGCTCTGCCACAGCAATGCAGGGACAATAACCCAAAACTCAGCCTGGAAAAAATTGTGATTCAAACAGTGTGAGGTGACACACATTGGATATCTGCTCACAGCACATCCCAATAAGATCAAGACAATCAAAGACATGCCAGTTTCCAGTGGATGTGAAAGGGGTACAGCACTCAGGAATGAAACATTTTCCATCCCAACTCTGTCCACACCTGGCTGCACTAGGGAAACCCATACGTCAGCTCACAAGGCAGGATGTGGCGTGGGTCTGGGCACGTCCCCAACAGCAAGCATTTGACAACAAATGATAACAATTGCCCCTGTCCTGAAGTACTACCAGCCAGGAGAGCCACTGACACGCCAGTGTGATGCATCGGTGAAAGCACTGGGGGTAGCTCTTTTGCAGGAGCAGCCAGTTGCTTATGCCATAAGAATCCTCTCAGAGACTGAATGGGGTATGTCCAAATAGGAAAAGAGCTTCTGGCTGTAGTATTTGGAGTGGACCGATTCCATCAGTACACCTATGGCCACCCAGTAATAGTGCAATCAGACCACAAACCCCTAGAGACAATCATGGCAAAGCCCCTTCTTAGTCTTCCAAAGAGATTGCAGCGCATATTGATGCATCTCCAGTGCTACCAGGTGGAGATCAGATCCAATCCAGGATGATTACTGGTGTCAGCTGACACTGTGAGCAAGGCATATGTACCCAGTATCAGCAAGTTGGGGGAAGGGAATCAGGACATTGAATCCATTAACATGTCGCACAATCTCCCGGTTTCAAGAGCAAAGCTGGTGGAACTCAAAGAGGCCACAGAAAAGGGCATCCCACTACAGGCAGTTGAGAGCAATACTAGCTATGTGGCCAGAAGACAAGAGCCAACAACCCGTAGGAGCAAAGCCATATTTTTCAAATCAAAGATTAGATGAGTGTGTAGGATGGAATCATATTTTGAGGACAGAGAGATGATGTCCCCACCTCATTACATAAGGATGTCATGCAAAAATATGTGCTGCAGACATGGGCTCCAGTGCATGTTTACTGATCAGGAATGAATACACAGCTCTGCTCCTTGATAGAAGGGTGTGACACCAGCCAGTCATGTGATTACCGCCAGCAGAAAGAGACTCTGTTACCACATGAGCTGTCCACCTGACTGTGGGAAAAGGTGAGAGCGGACTTATTTACCTTCAAGGAAAAGCAGTATTTAATTACAGTGAATGACTACTCAAATTTCTGGTTTCAGAGTAGCAGCGCTGTTAGTCTGTATCCGCAAAAAGAACAGGAGTACTTGTGGCACCTTACAGACTAACAAATTTATTTGAGCATAAGCTTTCGTGGGAGGTTGGTGCCCTGTCTGATACAAGAAGCAAGTCAGTGATTGGAAAATTGAAGGCACATTTTGCAAGATATGGCATTCCGGACACTGTATTCACCAACAACAGACTCCAATTTGCCTCAGAAAAATTAAAGTAATTTGCTTGCAAATGGGAGTTTGACAAGCACACCTCCTCCCCAGTATACCCACAGAGTAATGGTAAGGTGGAATCAGTTGTGTAAATAGCTAAGAGACTGTTACACAATGCTGTTTCTTCTGGTTCAGATTCTTTGTTAGCATTCTGGCACCCAGGAATACCCCATTACAGGGATTCCAAAACAGTCTGATGCAGGCACTGTTGGGACAAAGGGCCAACCTTGCTACCAACGAGGGGAGACCTGTTGCAGCCAGATGGATGGGGACACTGATGAGAGGAGATGGCCAACGATCAGAGAAAGCAGGTGTTGTTAGTGCTGTGGAGTGTTGCTGATGCTACAGCATTGTTACTGCTGCTAGTGTTGCTGTTCTTGGAGCTCCAGTGTTAGCTGCACTTGGGTTCACAGCCTTTGGGTCACACTGTTAGTTATACCTAGGGCTCCAGCAAGGCCTACAGCAGATACTAGAATACAACAGGTCAGCCCTGGAGTCAGGCACTCCTGTGAGGTTTCAGCCTTTAGAGAGACACCAGAAAGAGTGGACTAAAGGAGTGGTGAGGGGTGCAGTGGCACCCAGGTCATTTGAGGTGACTGCAAGAGGGATAAGTGATCCAAAGGAGCAGAAGACACTTATGAGCCAGCTGACACAACACTGAGAGAGAGCCTACAGAGAGACAACCATCCAGAAACCAACTCCACAGGGAGGGAGAAGACTCCACAGAGAGATAGTTTGCTGGCCTCTGAGTCTGGTGACAGGAAGACACACATAGGCCACTTCCGGTGTGGTCATGGTTGAGGAGACCAAACTACCTCAAAGATTATGTAACCAAACCAGCTGAGTCTGTGGTAAAGATGAGACTCCAACTCAGCTATGTGCTAGCAACCTCTGGCTGAAAGGACATGGGATGGAGGTCTGAGAATCAATTATTTGTTTCTAATGTTTGTATTTAAGATGTTTGTAAAACAGGTAAGATGTATCATGATCAGTGAAACTGGAGTGAGGTGGGCCCATGTTCCCTGGAGGACCTATTATTGATGGGTAACCAGAAAAACAGGAAATGTGGAGACTTGGGAGTTAGGCTGGAAGCAAGTCAGCCACTTGGACAGAGCGGTCTACCAGGTTTAGTAAAGTTCCACTTGCTCAACTTTAACCTGCACACAGCTTCATTCTGTGTGACTGAAACAGCTAGCATAGATTCATAGATTTTAAGGCCAGAAGGGACCATTATGATCATCTAGTCTGACCTCCTGCATAACCCAGGTTATGCAATCTTATCCAGTAATTCCTGCATCAAGCCCATCTTAATGAAAATAACACCTCATTCAGTTAATTTTTTTATCCACCAAACATCACTTGTAACATATGCAGTGTATTGAAAATTGTGTTAAAATTGTGATCCTGTCGCTTTAAATTACGTAGCATTTTCTTGCTTCTGCTTGCATGTAGGAGGCTCTGTAGAGAAGCATATGATCAGGGTCAGTTTGCAGATAGTCAGCTTAGAGTGAGATGGGATGAGTTGTGCCTCTCTGTTTTAGGAGAAGCCTGCTTTGTCTCTCTCTGTTCTTGTGTTCTTGTGTGTTAGGATTCTGAATTCTATTGCAAGCTTCCAGCATGAGGATTCTTTGATTTGATCTAATTTCTCTGTTTGTATGCCATGAACCATAGCCCTTCACAGTACTTTTGAGGATCCGTGCCTTAGTGTCTTCCATTTCAAATCAATAACAATAGTGAAGTCCTGAGCAGTTATCATGGAATCTCTGGCACTTCTATTTTACAGGGTCAAAACTCTAGTTGGGAGTAGGGTTTTTGGTTTTTTACATTTATTTTATTAATTCATTTCCTTTTTTAAAAATACTTTTTACATCACTGCTTAATCTATCCCCTGCATTACTTGCTTACTTCGTGGGGTGAACAGAGGGAGAGAGAGCCAAGAAATGTTTATCCACATAGGAAACTGCAAAGGTCAGAAGAACGCGCTATCCTAAAAGAGGTGAATGGAAAAGGCAAACTCCTTAAAGTCACCTGAAATAATTTTCCTGCTATAATTTGAAGTGGTGCTAGGTAGTGAATATTTTTTTTGCATTTCGCATGCTGATTTTTTTAAACTTATTCTTCAATGGTATAGGAGGAAAGACTAAGCATGGTTTTTATATACTGAATCAGCAGAACAACGCTAGGAGAGCAAAATGTAAGTATTTATGATAACTATCAGCTGGGGCCAAATTATAAGACTGCACAGGTATTTCTGAAGCATGTCTGTTTCTGTGGCAGTATACAGGAAACTTTAGCAAGATACTTCACAGTGGAAATAATGAATTTTTTACAAGCCTTGTGTAGATAAAAAAATGTTAATGAACCAATGAGTGTAAATTCTGTGTAATCCCAAAGAAAAAAGGCTAAAATTAGGCCCTGTGAAATAATTTACTACCAAACTTCTGACTCAGAGAGAAACTGCATTATACCACTGTTTCCCCTATAGGGAAAAAGGGGTCAAGCAAACAGAGCTTTGCAGCCTTGCATAACCTGAGAAAAATCATAAAAACGCACTTCCCTTGTTGAGCTACACAGCAGCTGACTAGGAACTCAAACATATTTCTTCTACTCAGTTTCAAAAAATTAAGGAATGGCTCAGTAGCATGTTGCCTGTGCATTTTCCATAATATCCCAGGCTCTCTACTATTTAAGAGTGTGTGTGTGTGTGTGTTTTCCTTTTTTCCTGTTTTATGTTATATTTTATATATATCCTGCTTTTGTTATATTACGCAGGAAATGAGGCAGCTTCATTTGTTTCTTGGCTAACTTTCCTTTCCATCAGAATCTGCAGGTAGTATGCAGGAGAAGGAGAAATCTTGCTCTAGGTACTGTTCTTCTTGGATGGGGAAATTGTGGCAGAGAGGTTAAGTGATTAGCTGAAGCCCACAAAGGAAGCTTGTATCACAGATGGGATGAGAACTCAGGAATGCCTAGGCCCCTGTTCTTAGACCCCACAGTGGTAACTGCTGCAGTGGTTATTCGTGGGGTTCATTGCTGACAATGGATCTAAGTGGAAGAAATTTTAGTTTTGATGCAAAAGAATTAAAATGTTAAGTGGCTGGGGAAGAAGTCCTGTAGCATTAAGTGGTGTTGTGCATGCCCAGCATTAAATAACAGTTAATATCTTGGATTTTCATGGATTAACATGCTACTCAGTAACGTAATTGTCTCTAAGGTTAAAACAGGCTTTCATGAGATGACTGTATTTCCTGTTATCTCTTGAAGTGTTTGTCTCTGTGTTGTCCTCGGTTCACCCATAGATTTAATTTGGGTTTTCAGATGATCTTGGTTAACTTCATTTGACCTTGTCTGGCCTTCCTTTTGTTACAATTTGCAGATAGTTAAATGGGCTAAAATAAGAATTGAACTAATGGATAATAAAGAGGTTTATGCTGTGCTTAGGGATTGAGCTCCCTATTAAGTCTCTATTGTTGATGAAAGATGTTCTCTATATTCTTGTATATGATACAATACCTATCTCATTGTATGCCTATACTGAATGTTATTGGCTTGTTCTCAGTTGCATTTAGTTAGAATCACACTGTCTGCAACGTCCCAAAGATAGATGATAGGGGGAAATATTCCTTGTTCCTTATTTTTACTGTTTTCTTTAAGGAACTTGGGATCCAGCTGTGTCTGTGTCAGACACTGAAAGAAGCTTCTCCAGATGGCATTGTTGCATAGTCTGGTGAGAAGTGGAATCTTGGATGCTCCAAATGGGGTCCATTCCTCCAAACACTTTGGGCTGGATTCACAAAGAAACATAGGCATGGTGACATTCAGCATCACCATGCCTAACTCTTAGGTGCCTAGAACATCACTGGGATTCACAAAGTCTGAGTTCATCACCTAGGCTCCCTGTACAATGAATGGAGAGAGATAGGCACCTTCAGCCATGTCTACATCACCGTTGCACAGCTTCAGTTCTGCAGCTGTGCCGCTGTAGTGTAGACACTTCCCACATCTACGGAAAGTTTTTCTTCCATCAATGTAGTTAATCTACCTTTCCAAGAGGTGGTAGTTAGGTTGATAGAATCCTTTCATCTACCCACCTGGTCTACACTGGGAGTTAGGTCGATTTAAATATGTTGTCCAGGGCGTGAAATTTTGCGCAACCGTGAGCAATGTAGCTAGGTCGGTCTAATTTTTAGGTGTACACCAGGCCATAGAATGGATTCACAAAAATCAGCACTGTAGGAAGCACTTCACTGAGGTAGCCAATGAGAGGTGCCAAGCTGAGAGGTGTGTGCTAAGCCCTGCCCTTCTCTCAGATATAGGTGCCTAAGTCTGGGCCGCAGGAAGGCACCTCCCTCTGCTTGGGATTCTCAGCTGAAAACCCTCTCTTGGCAGTGGAGGAGCCGGAGGCGCTCCCTCAGATCTCTTAGCCCAGTCTAGCAGTTATCACAACATTTTTTTTTTTTGGTGGCCCCAGAGAGCAACCTCCAACTCTTGTTGGTGACTGCTCTGATAATTTTTCTGCCACTCTGGGGGCCCCGCCGTCCCTGGGAAGGTGGGTTGGGAATTCACCGGCTGCCTGTGGAGTCCCAGGTTCCTCTGGCGCTGTGCACACCAGCTCCATGTGTGTCCAGAGGTGGAGGCTGACTGGTGCAGGGCACTGGTCCCTGCTGGCAGTGCCAGCAAACACCAAGGTGTCCCATGCAGGATTAACAGCTGGGTGCTGCAGTGATTTGACACACACACCCAATCTCCACCCAGAACACTGTTGTGGGTTCAAAAAAATCTGCTGGTGGCCGCATTTGAGAAACACTACTCACCTGGGATTTGGGAAACCCTGGTTCAAGTCCCGTTCTGCCTGATGAGGCAAAAGGATTTGAACAGGGGTCTACCACTTCCCAGAAGAATGCTCTAACCACAGGGCTATGGGATAGTCAGATGGGGGTGGGGCCTCAGTCTTTTCTGTTGAAGGTGTTCCAACAGTGAACAAATAATGAAAGAATCATTGGGCAAGACAGAGAAAAAGTTTGTAGCCTGGTAATTAGAGCACTCACCAGGGAGAGGGGAGACTCAGGATCCAGTCACCCTGCTCCAAAGACTTTTAAAATTATATATTCAGTGTGGGAACAGCTTCCACAGGAGAGACTGAGGGAGCCCCACATCAGAACATCCCATAGCTGAATGGTTAGGGCACTCCCCTGAGAGTGGCAGATCCCAGTTCAATTCACTTCTTGTTGGGGTGAGGGGTGACTTGCCCCAGGGGTCTCCCGCATCCCAAGTGAGTACCCTAATCCCTAAAAGTTATGAGAGCTTCTCCTCCACCCACCACCATTTAATGTAAACTCAACTATAGGGGCCCAGTCTGAAAGGCAAACTCTGAGCATGCTTAGCAGATTGGGCCCACAAGTGAATTAGGCAGGGGAATGCCCACCTTTCCCCCATTCATGATCGCTCCAGGGCTTAGGCATCTGGATGCCTGCTGTGGGGCCACAGCAGGCAGGCCCAGTGGTAGAAACAAAGGTGCCTGGGCTCTGTGACTCCCAGTGGGGCCTAATTCTGGGATTTAGATGCCTAAAGTGGCAGCTAGGTGCCTAAATCCTTTTGTGAATCTAACCCTGACTACAAAGCAAAGTTCTCATTGCAGTAAGCACCACCCACAGCAGTAAATGTTTGCAGGACTGGGCAATTGTATGTGCAGAGTGTTTATCAGACTATCATCTGAAATTTAGATTATAAAGCAACAAATAATACTGCTGTGTTTTATTTTCATATCCTCCCCTAATAAATTAACAGAAGAGTTGTAATATCTCTAACATAAAAGCAAATTTGTAGAACCCTGCAAATATCCGCAAACCATTTTTTTGGATCAGATGCGGACACAAATTTTGTATCTGCACAGGGCTCTACATATTTGTTTAGCATGTAGCTCTTCCATAAGCATTTTAAAGGGCAATTCGATTAGTTCAGTGTTATTCCAGATTATCTCTTGCTATAAGCAAATGAAATATATAAGTAGATTTTCAGAAAGAGAAAAATGATTTTTCCTGCAATGAATGGATTAAAAAAGATAAGACAAAAGTCTGCCTAAGTGATTGGCTGTAATCTTGATGACAAGCTTGGAAAAATATAGGTCAGTATATTTAAGGAAAAATACTTTTTAAAAAACAGTTTTAAAACATTAATGTGTTTAAAAAACACACCAAAAATTCTGTATAAAACTGGTTGTGGTTTGACATATTTTTAATGTTTCTTACACCTTAGTAACACACAAAACACCCTGTGAGTTAGGGCCAGATTTTGCCACCCTTACTCACTCTGAGTAGTGCCTTCCTCTGTGGGTAATCCTCTTAAAATTAATGGAACTACTCACAGAGTAAGGTTGTACTAAGTGTGAGCAAGGGAGGCAAAATCTGTCTCTCAGTTGCTGCCAATATATTAAGTTGAAAACCAAATAAAGAATCAGAGTTTAATAACTTTACACTGAATAGCACTTTACCTCACAGGTAATCTCATTGACTTTAGTGGAGTAAGGTCAATTAAGAGTATTGGAATCTGGACACAACTTTCATTCCGTTTACCTTCCTATTTAACATAACCCCTCTTTAAACTAATACATTTGTCCTGCTCTACTCAAAGTGATTATTTCTATGTATTTTTGCCTTTCTATAAGAGCCATTGTTTTCTGGTCATTCCCTCATTGGAGGGCTGCTTTTACAAATGACGGGTCCAGTACTGTATATCTAGTTTGCTACTCCTAATGACTTTGGGCCTCACACTGATAACAGTTACTGAGCTTCAAGACATCTACTTAGAAGATTGTTAACATGAAAGTTCCTTAAAAGCTACACTTCCAAAGCAACTTAAGCAGCAGTGGCCCCTACTGCTGGTGATTTTTCACAAAAAAAACGATTGTACATCATTTTAAGGTTTGCCCTGATGCTGGATCCCGATAGTGGAATGTGTCAACTGTTCCCAGACACCTGACAATCTGCAGCTGATTTG